CTCCTCTACTTCCCGAGAATCTGAACTCTCTCTTGGAGGCAGGATGACTGATTGATGTCACTTCTCAAGATATAATCCTGAGGTATAACTTCTAGAATAATTCCAGAAGCAAAAGTCCAATATTGTGTCCTTGAGGACGGTAGATTTTAAGCTTTATGGAACACTGGTTGAAGATTTCAACTATGAACCCCTCGCGGTGGGCTCCAGATGATACGCTGCGGATCGGGACCGAACAGGGGGAAATGAGCTGGATACTGGGTCTCGATGTATGGCTAAACCACACACTAAACACACTCCAAATCAAACACCTAATCACCTCTCCGCTTGTATATGCATTCGTGGGGTTCCAACCAAAGTATTACGGCTGTTGCAATAGCTGAAAACTAGGTTTCGACTTAAAGCTTTAAGTCGACCGTTTGGTTTCTCGGACCTATTGGGCGCTGATGCGACCTTTATAGTTCTTAGAAGAGTTGTGGTTTTCAAAAGGTTTGTGGTGATGGACACCGGGTGGTTGTGTGGTGAACTAAACTTAGTTCAACGCTGGGTTTGAACTGTAACCGAAGGTTGACAGGTTCCGCTATAATATTCGCTGACGCTGACGCTGAGACACTAAAACGCTGATGCTGACGCTGACACTGACCCTAAACGCTGACGCTGACGCTGCACAACAAATATAATCCAATCCCAATATATTGGTAGACACCAAAGTATCTAAAGACACTCAAATGTACACCGAATGGATTCCGTGAGACTTCCCGGACGGAGGCACGTGTTATGCTGTGCTCCTAACAAGAAGGGTACGGTCCACTGGCTTCCACCTAAGCTCTACCTCTACTTATATACTAAATCCTACATACCAAATACTACAAAACATGGAAACTCGAAACAGTAATGTACATAATGGTCCAAACATTGAGTCCGTGAAGGTACGGACTCCTACTGAATACAATCTACTAATTTACATACGAATCTTGACTTGAAAAGGAGAATAATCTGCATGGATGTTGGTACAATTAAAATAAATAATATGTGTCCGCTTCTGGCGTGTCCAAATAATATTCCAGCCTCGTCATGTCGTCCCAATTCGGTGTGTGTGACTCCTGGTGAATCAGCCTCGAGTCATTCGAGTCAATTCGAGTCATTCGTGAATAGCCATGTGAGTCTGTTCGAGTCAAGACTATTAATAGCTTCTTGGCATCACGATTTTGGTTTAGCCGGCGGCAAGACCTTGCTGCCGCTACTGCTCCCTTTGAGGTGCCGTTCCTGGCTATGCCGTCGGACCTTTCCAGTCCTCGGATCTTCGGCTTGATTGACAGGAAATGCCAACTCTACCGTAGACAAATGTTCTAGTCAACATAAGTTGCCCCTGCAAGGCCCCCATTCCTCAACCCTGGTCACGGATGGATAGTATTTCCTCCTGTCCTTGATTAGAGTGAACACCCAACTCCTACGAACCCTGAGGGTTTGTTAAAAGAGAAGGTTTGACTTAAAGCTTTAAGTATGATTTTGACTTTCCGGCCAGTATTGACCTTCCAGTGAGTTCACACCTTAAAGCTTATAGTATATACGCTGCTGTCTCCTAGCTAGCTGCCCGGACTGACACTAGCCCCCTGCTGAGTGATTTATATAGCCGATTACAATACAGCTAGTGGCACTGAATGAGCAAAAATCGCAAATTCCGCGCGTGGCCCAATTGCTGGCTTATCACCGTCAGTTTAGACCACCGCAGCATGTTGAGGAGAATGTCCTTGTAGATTTCGATCACTACCTGGTGCAAGAGCGGGGCTGTACAAAAAGTAGTGGGTCAATACACCACATGACTCGGAAGGATGGCCACAAGCCCGGCGGTCATCGTAAGAGTGCAGAGGAGGGGGAACGGTCCATCGACAGCATCGAGATAGCATGCAGATGCGAAGAGCTTGAGATGTTGTCAGCGGGCCCGGTGTGCTATGCTCAGCTGCAAGAGCAGAGTTTCGAGACGGGAACACTCTAATTCTACAGAGAGTGGGCAGGAGCCCGAACGGCAGAGGGCAGCTTCCACGCGGACTTGTTCAGCTTGGTGGCTTTGTCCCCAGGCCGAGTCAGTGGCGCAACGGATAAGCTTGAATGTCCGCCAAAGCCTCAGGGTAGAGAAAGTGATCTTGCACCACAGCCGACATATCTGACCCAGGATACTGGGGGACAGCGGTCCCTTCTGCAGCACGCTGTGAGCTGTCACTTTGTGATGCGCTCCGAACACAGCAAACCAAAGGAAAAACAAGGCTTTCATGAGCGCAACTCCGTATCCAAAAATAATGACAACAACCGCACCTCCGAACCAAAAAGCTCACACAATTCCACAAGGCCAGACTCCAAATTGAACGAAGGACTCGCAGGGAAATATTATTGAGTGGGGACTTGTCCTGTGTGTGTTGCCACTACACCACTTAGCCAACATGGCCAGACTCCGAATCGAACGGAGAGCTTGTGAAGAAGCGCTAAGCAAACATAACTAGTTCACACGTGTTAACCACTACACCACCTGGCTGTGAATATCAGTTGAGTAACATTCGACAAATGGACAGAAAGGGACACAAACGAAATAAAAAGCTCATTGGATCAAACAAATGGCCTGACTCCGAATCGAACGGAGAGCTCGCGAAGGGCCAATCTACGCGCCCATGCATTTAACGTGCGTTAACCATTACACCACCAGGCCGTTGCTTCACGATTCCGAATCCAAAGAAACACAGGACTCCGTCTAATAAAAAGAGCGAAAAAACCCGATCTTCGCACCCAGGTCTGGACCCCGAATTGAATGAGGAACTTGCAAGGAAAAATTAGGTGATTAAGTCGATTGCATGTGCTACCGTTGCACCACCCGGCCGTGGTTCTAATAGCAAAATGGAAAGTTAACTCATTAAAAATTGTAGAGACTTTGTGGGAAGACCGAACCCCGAGTTGAACGGGGGTCCTGCGGTGAGTAGGTGATGAAGCTTTTCTCAACAACACCATGAGCGCTACCAACTGCACCATTTGGCCATGATTCGGAGACAACAATTCCATACGCACATACCACTCGGACGAAACCAGGGAATCGAGGAGGAAACAGTTTCAATACGGAGGCGGACCGATGGCAGGCCGGCATACAGAGTAGGCTCTTGGGAAACGGGACGACCAAAACAGGAAACAGAGGGGGCATAAGGCAACTCCGAATCAACTTTCGACCCCTTCAAACTCGAGGAGCGCGTGGAGATTGACGTAGCAAGTCAGAACAGAAGCAGAGGAGGGGTCCGTTTCCTAAACAAGGAGTTGATATGCACGCGGGTATTGGACAGAGAACAGCATAAAAGCCAGCTGTACGATACAGAATAAACATCTTATTACCTCCCACTGCATATACCTAAAGCTACTCCCCCTGAAGTACACCAGGGTGGGGAATTAAATTAAAATGCACTCTGCTACGGGTTGTGCCGCCCAATAGTAGGACAAACCAAGGTCACCTAAAAGGCCAGGGCTTGTCAAGAAACCCTGTCCGTCTCACCTCCGTTTCGATAAACCGATACGGAGGAAATATAGTCAATCCGGAGTTGAAAGCACATGGTAGCAGAATTACGCGGCACACCACCAAACGGCCAGTAGCCTAACTTGGCTTCGTGCAACCACTCTCATTCGGAGTTTGAGCACATATATTTGCGAGGAACCCACCACATCGTATACGGAAGGCCTATCCTACGCAATTATACCATTTCCCCCATTCATTTCGCACACTTCACCCACGAGTCTTCGAAACGGAAGCAACTCCATTTCAAGGCGTTCAAAAATGGAGAAACCAGGCTACGAAGGGTATCACTATGGCCACTGTACGGTGTTACCCAGTACTGAAGAGACCTGCCATCCGAATAACTCGAGATGGGTGGAAAAGTATAACCATATATCCCGGGTATCCCGGAACAGAACAGAATTCGTGTTGCAAAGTGCACCCTTTGGGCAACTGTAGAGCACTCTCCGACCACGGCTTATTCGGAAGGCCAGCCCCCAACGAGGAAACAAATCCTCGAGGAACCTGGCACTCGTTCACTCCAAACAGAGGGAGCTGTAATAACCACACCCACCACATTATAAATTACACATTAGCGTACCATAAAACTACGCATCTCCGTGAAAGAGCAATTTCCTCCTAGAGGACGAACTAAAATTCTGTAAAAAAACTACTTGACTTTACCCACCCGGGTCAGGCAGTTTACAGAACCGCAGTCTGCATCACAGCGCATTCCGGGTACAGTGATTAACGGTGAAGCGAAACACACCACGTAGCAAAACACGGCCAAACACCCCTGTTTTTCTCTGCAAATCCGCTCTAATGTTGCGAGTTGGGACATCCTACCCCCGCTTTCGAGGTGGCCGGACATCATGGGAACAATATTGGGACCCAGAAATTAGCAGATCTCCCAGAAATAACAACTTTTGACAAGAATTCAAGGAAATCATCAATTTCGACAGTAAATCTACAGAAATATGCGATCTATTCACCATTCAATGTCTATAGAACCGTTCCTTGGACCAAAAGTATCACTATCAACGACTACAAATTCAATTTGTTTGGTTGAACGACTCTGCGCCTCGACCGACGACCGGTCAAATTCGGCTCTGACTCTCTTTCCAATTCAACTGCTTTGCTCTTCACTCCACGTCTGGTTCCCAAGTTCTCCTTGTCGCTCACGCCATCCTCAGATGGTTCGTCAATGAACTCGGGAGGTTCTCCGTCAAAACCATTGACAACTTCCTGGGATAATTCCATAACTTCCCACCTCGCCTCTGTTCACTAGATTGATGCGTGATTCACGATCTAGCACCTCTGCCGCCTTCCTCTGAGACACAGAGCCAAAAATTCTGGGCATAAGGAGTTTCTGCAACTTGGGAGAGTGAGTGACGCGAAGAAAACACACGAATCAAGCGATGTTTGCGCATATTTCGCTTCCACGTGAATAGCCCAAAATGGACACTCCGGAAAGACTCGACCCGTTCTCCACGAATACAACACCAAACCTGATGGAATTTTGGTCAGGCGCGTAGCGCACATGCCGGACCGTAGATCTACAGCAAGACTTGTGCCAAGTTCGCAACTAATTGGCGTGTAATTTGCAAACTCCCTTAAACCGTTTCGCTTCCCAGTTAATTACTGTACCATGGAAGAAAATGTAGAAATATTTCTTCCGCAGCGCTTGGCATCCGCGGCACTGAATTGATCTTCTTGGCCATAGGGATTTCCAACTGAGTGAGTCCTGAATTTACTGCAGCATTTTGATTTTGCACAGCGGCCAAAGCAGCAGTTCTCATTTCCGAAGCTTCAACATTCTGCACATGGTTTTTGGATAGGAAGTGTCACTTGTTGCCATCTCGTTCAAACCATTTGTTGGTGCCGGTGTAAGATAACACAGTGAAGTTTCTTTCTGTCTGCGGACTCAGTGAAGCCTGTGACAGAACTGTTGAGAATAGCCTGAACACGCAGTCTGGTATCACCCATACAATTATCAACTGGCTGGAGTGAACGAGGCATGGTGCCGCAGGTTTGAAGGGACATGTCTGTACACATCGCAGTCAAAGTGGGCTGATGTCCAAACAGCACTAATTCTGATTGGTGATCACTGAAACACCATATCCGTAACTTATCCGTAACTTGGCCGTAACCACTATTTCCATATAAATGCCAGTGAATTCTCGCCTTTGCCCCACCTCCCTCCCTCACCATGGCCCAAGAGAGCGACACTGTTAAGGCCCGACTTGTAGTGCAATGTTGGCGGAATCTCCAGAGGTCATCTGAGCTGCCAAAGGAAAGCGGACACCTCTGAACCTCGACCTATTATCCAGTAGCAGCCCAATGGCTTCTGATGAGGAGGAGGATGATGACAACCAACTTCCCTCAGTTCTTGCGGCCGCAGCTTCCTCCGGCTCCGACGGCAACATGGACACCAACTTCTGCCTCAAGAACCATCTGTGTGCCAACAAACGGGAAGACCCGCCTTTGGGCGATGGATGGGGGTACGTCGTGGAGCATAAGCCTTACAAGGATCATCTGCGCAGTTATGTCACTGAGAAGGACATAAGTGAGCGTACTGCAAAGGAAACAACAGTTAACTCATCTGAATAATAGGTTAGCACTTGTATCGCCTTCACAGTGTTGCTCCAGAAGGACACTCACTTAACTACAGGTCTCCGCTGCTCGGGGGTTGGGGGTGTCGTCTGCACGCGGCACGAGCTGGTGTGGCCACAGGGGATCGGCAACCTGCAAAAGGGCGAGTGGTACGTGTTTTTAGAGCCGGGTCAATCGATTTACTTATAAGTCCCTCGCTCGTAGGTACGCTAACATGGACTACATTTTATTCTCTGCAATCCTCGGCATCACCGCGTTATAGCATTGTGGCAGCAACACCGGAGTTCTCAGTCTCCCCTGCACTCGATGTACGCTTGTGCACAATCATCTCATTTCTATGCTCATTCCATTGCAAAAAAACCTCCGTCAACTCGCTTATGGCATCATGACTTCGGTCAAAATCTCTTCGTACAAGGGGAGTGTTGCCACTGCCCATCTACTGGTGTGTTCATTGTGCTTCATACTTCTATTACCACTGACCCTTTACAGAATGTTGTGAAGATTCAACGGTGATAGGGTGTGTACCAAAACACACATGAAAACAACCAGTTTTCTTTCATTTCTGAACCTATCTAAAGGCTGGAGTGAGACTTGGACTAAGAGGGTACATTCTCCTCGGAATGGTATTCTACACTTATAATGGCCGAAAGCCAGTGAACACTATGTGTTTGAAGCTCAACAAGGGACCTTTGTGGGAACTGAGTTCAGTCTTCAAGCCAGCCGCTGGGCTCCGGGGGTTGGCTAGCCGCCAGATTCCTTGAGTGCTCGAGGTGATCAAGAGGAACTATATGTCCTAGTGGTAGCTGCTACTCAACGGCAGCCTCAATGATAAACAGGTTGGACTCGAACCAACCACAACTTAAGGTTAGGACCCAGCTAGCCGCTGGATCCGAACTCAACCAGATAAAGATAGTCAATCATGAAGATCTTGATAGCGGCTACGCTGTTTGGTTTGGATTGAGTTGTTGATATGAAAAAGGTCTCTAGGTGAAGCGCGCTCTTCTAGCCGCCACCCTATTGATTCTACAACTAAAAGACAAGATACTGGAGGTGGCCGCTACCCTCAGCGAAGGCTGTAGCAGCTATGCACATTTGACTCCTTCGCTTGCAGCTACTGCCCTGGTGGCGGCCGACGCGGAACATTTCCGATGATTATAATCGGGTTGCTAGCCGCTACCAACAATATGGTTGCCACTGTCAAACAGATGTGTGGTACCGCCAGAGATAGAAAGAAGATATGATATGAGTTGGCCGCTACACTAGCAAGTTCAGTACGAGGCTGGTAGCGGCTACTCAGCGGTAGCCGCCGCTGAACTGGCACAGTTGGACCTCAAAGGATTGACTTTAACTGGTAGCCGCCAGCATCACTAAAAAGAGATGCGCAGTAATGCCATGTGCAGCGGCCACCGGTTGCCATATACCCACGGTTCACTCAATACCCAACACCCCATTGGACCGCTTGCCGCCAGCATCTCAACGGAATCAATCACGACTTATCACGCCATTCCGACTCATTCCGATTATCTCCATTCTGGACTTTCAACTTGTATAAATATGGTAGAACTGCACCAATGTACTTCAGTAGACTGCTCCCCCCACTTTGTGGAAGGAATATAGTGCGCTCAGAGATAAAGCAAAGATTTGATAACTGCAATAAGATTGTGTTAGAGGCGTGTACATCCTAGAACCAAGCTTGCAGACTGATATAAGTGCGTGCCGCCTAGCCAGCCACCGCCCTTTGGAAAGTTAAGCCGTTCGACAGGTCTAGCTGCCAATTGAGCTTTGCTCTTGGCCGCCAACATTGAGCTTTGCTCTGTCAACAGTCCGTTTAAAGGAATAAAGGAAAACCTCTACCTTTCGGTTTACTGGTTGATTATTCTGTGGCCGGAGTATTCACCATAGCATTGCACAGTTCATCTCTGACACCTTATTCTCATACAAATTGCCTTAAAGTCGAAGCTCTTGCCAGAGATAAAGCCTGTGATTACGCCGCTTGCCGCTACCACTATAAGTGTTGCTATTACCGCTACCTTATTCTGAGAAACAAACCATTTCGAAGGGTGATACGTACCCTACTTCCCCGAACACACACACACGAGTATTGAGATTGGAGTTAGTGATTAGATTTGGTTTTGAGTTTGGTTAGAGTGTTTAGTTGAGTTATACTCACTATGCTCATTTAGCCTCTCATTTCTGGTCGATTTCACGGCTGCATTCCAGTGCACCGTTTCAGCGGTTCGATCTGTGCACTGGGATCGAGCTCATTGCATCGGACTGGGGATGCGTGAAGGCCCGTGGTGAATAGCAACTCACACAGTGTCGTGCTACCTTCAAAAAATTTGTGGGTCTTACTTCCTCTTATTACTTATTTTGTGTTTAGTTGAAGGCTAGCATGAACAAAGCACTTCCCGTCGACCGCCAGAACATTTTTATCTTAAGCTAACACTTTGTCAAGGACATGCTGTGATGTGGACTGCGGTTATTGTACTCGAATCTGCCCGTGGAATTACGGTCAAACTGAAATACAATAGTTTTATTCGTCCTCTAGGGGGAAATAATCAGGCTGGTGGCGCTCTCTACTTCTACGGAGTGATATTTTACATGGTGATGGTGGTGGTTAATGCAGATTTCTCGTCTGCAAGTAGCAGATTTCGAGAAAGGTGCTAGGTTCCTCGAGAGTTTGGTCTCTCGTTGGGGCCTAGCCTTCCGAGAAAGATGTGATGGGAGATTCTTCTACACTCGCGTGAAGGATTGGCGCTCCACGATGTGAAGTACGCTCCTACTCGGTAAACCCGGGTAATGTGGTGTTTTCGTATCTTCTTGCGTCGTATAGGGCGCGCAAGCAGTTTCTTCAGAACTGGGTAAATGCAGTGCCTTCAGATTGTAGCGCGCTCCTTCGCAATCTGTCTAGCTAGTCAAGTGAAGTCCGCCGAATTGGATGGGGGAAATGGTATAGTCTAGTTGGTAAAAGGTGCCTTCTCGATAAATGCGCCCTACGCACGCAAGGTGTGTGTTATGAGCACCGAAAGTCAACAGTTACATGCAGCCTGGGTAGGTCTGCTGGCTGTTTGGAGGATCGTGCTGCGCTTTTCTTCAACTGAATGCGCACTTCAACACCTGTTATTTCCAACATTTCCTCCTTTCTTGTCTAGAAGGTCTCTTGCGCAGTTTCTATTCTGTACAACCACGGTCAAGGTGACCCTTGTTACCCCACTCTCATGAAGGCACACTAATTTATTTGATTTGACAATGTACTGGATTAGTGCCTCCCATTTTAATGGGAGCGCCTTTCCTTTAGCAGTATGCAGTGGAGGTAATTAGATGCCTTCTCTCTTCTTTGCGCCCCCCTTTTATACCCTTTCCTGCTTCCCTATTGGTCTAACTCTGGCGCCTTTCTTCCCAAGCGCGCCTGTGCCTTTTTTTCTCAAACCGCGCCGGCCTTCCTTTTAGGCAGCGCCCACGCCTTTTTCCTTCAAACCGTGCCGGCCTTTCTTTTAGACAGCGCCCGCGCTCTTTTCTCCAAACCGTGCCTGTGCCTTTCTTCAAACAGTGCCCGCGCCTTTCTTCAACCAGCGCGTTCTTCTCTCGTATACGTTGTCGTAGTTCCCCAGTCCCTAGCTATCACGGTCAGATAGCACAGCGGTTAGTGCACAGACGTTCAAGGGCAATATTCAATCCGCTACCCTCGTTCGACTCGGGGTCTGGCATTGGAAAATTTGACCACTTCTTTTTTCCTAGCTCAGCGCCTTTTTAACTCACGCGTTTTTCCCGATAGTCTTCGTCGTGAGTACGACCCGGCGCATGTAATTAATGTACGAAAGGTCGGTGATTTAATATGGCGCCCTTTTCTTGTCACGGCGCCTTCCCACCTTCGGAGTGCACGGCGCTCTTTTACAGTTTGATAGTTCTGCGCGATGTGTTTTCAGTCATTGCGACCAGATAGCACAGTGGTTAGTGCGCGGATGTTCGATCAGCAGTATTCGATCCGCTACCCTCGTTCGACTCGGGGTCTGGCCTTTAAAGCGGTAGCTTTGTTCAAGGAACAAAGCCACCCCTCCCCCATCCGCGAAAGCACGCCCAACCACCCGTAAACGTACCAGCGGCTCCGAACGCGGGCGCCCCCGAGCGCGCCAGCAACCCCCAAGAGCGAGTGTGCTGTCAACCCCCAAAAGCGCACCAGCGACCCCTAATGCCAGCGTGCCCCCGCAACCCCTGAGTGCGCCAGTAATTTCCAAGAGTGAGTGCACCGTTAACTTCCAAAAGTGCGCCAATGATTTCCAATCTGCGAGTGCGCTAGTGACCATGCTTCGCCCGTTGTTCTGAAAGGCGCTTTTGTTCTGCGTAAAAGGGCGTCTGGAGCTAATCACAAAGTGGTAGCTTACAATGCAAACAGTCATCACCGTTGAGTTATGTGCCCGGATTGTGCTCATGATGAGTTATAAATGCCCTATCCATTCCTTCATTGTCTCATTCCCCCTCAACGGCAACAATATGTTCTGCACCCCGGGGATGACTTCTGGGATGAACTCAACAAGCAGCTGGTGTGGATGCGCAAGCAGGGTAACCATGAGGCTGCAAAGATTGTGAAGTAAGTCTCCAACATCTTGTTTATCTCGCAGCACTGATTATACATACAGGGGATTCAAGCTTGTCCTTGCTGAGGACCACGAGAAGTATGGGAAGTCTGCTGATTATCAGCTCCCGGAGGACGCAGTAATCAATACTTGGCAGCAGAATCTCGATGACTCAATTATTGCTGATGGTGTGGCCGCGTAAACTCGATCTCATTATTATGGAATAAATACATTTTTAAAAATTCATTCAATTGCCCGTACGCCGCCAATCGAGCCCGATGTAAACCGAATATTCGGGCCGCATATTACTGTTATATATTCGCCAATCTCCGCAGCCGGTCCTATTGACGTACTTTTGATGTTTGCCGTCTGACATTGAACGAACATTGTGCCGTTCTCATGTTTACATGTCCTCGACCTGCCTTGGATCTTTCAATACTTGTTCTCAGATATCCAGGGAACTTGGGAGGTATAATTTAATATTTACTCTTGATTTACTCTTAGAAGTGACAGTCCGATATTCGGTTCACGGTTGGCCCAACCAAAGTGCACTTAAAAACCTTCAGAGATATCCTGGTTGCTCGCCGCCAGTGGAACGGCGAAGCTTGCAGACTCCTACTGTCAAGTTGTTCAGACTTCAGCGGATCATGATGGAATTATGGCAGAGGCCCGTGCGCATCAAACGAACGACATGAATGGAAAAGATGGGATCATTCCCTCGCTGCCTTTCCCCCCATCTCGACTCGCTTTCCCCCAGTGACTTTCCGCAAGTCAATATGCCCTTGACCTTACCTCCTCAGGCTTCAAGCCTCAAGTTCTCCTGCAGCAAGTTCATGGCTCCTCCAACCTCCTCAGGCTTGCAAGCTTGAAGAGCTTTTTTCAAGATATCAAGATGGCGGTTCGGGAACGGCGGCTCCTGCATCAAATCACAAGTCTCGACTCGGATGTGCTCAAGACCTCAAGCCTCAAGACCCCAATGTGCAAGCTCTTTACCCCAAGCGTCGTACCCTCGTCTTCGGCAAACACTTCCTTCAATGCTGACTATATCTAACTGCATGCCAGAATGCGTTGTCATGTATTGTTACATTAATTTTACCTCTGTCTTGTTATTTATTCTATGTACATTGACCCCAATTATAATGCTTTTGAATGGTTCTATTATATGTGAGAATGCTTCTAGAGAGATTCAGAACTATGTTGCTTACACATAAAGACTGATATGTGAAATACATCTGCGAGAACGTTTGCCTGACATCGATGTCACAGGACGGTCGTGGGATTTGACTGTTTTTGTTGTGGTGATGTTTTTCGAACATTGTCGAATATCCCCCCGGAGATCACTTGATATGTTGTAAGTTGAGGCTAAACGAAACAAGACTCAGCGTTGGTTGGAGAACAACGTCTGATATATTCATACCTAAACGAAACAAGACTACAAGTACGTGAGTATGAAGTTGAGAAAAGTAATACAACGGTAGCTCACCTCAGCGTTGGTTGGAGAACAACGTCTGAGGTGAATACAAGATTCAAGCCCATATAAATACGAAGTCCGGTAAATAGTAACTGTCCGTAAATCTACAGCTACGTATTCCTAACATGTCGAACAATGAGAAACATAAAGCTGTTGTACAGGAATAAATTGGGAAGACAATGCGGACTCAACGAAGGTCCGATTGCTGCTGTTATACAGCTTCCAACATGATATTGATCTCTGGACGTCTCGGTAACGATTCAACCGAGTGGTAGTGTATATTGTTAGAACCATCAGATTCACACTTGTTTTGTCCCAATCTGATTGTCCGCTAGAATTTTGGCCGCTGATTTGTGTTACGAGAACGTGATCACAAACACCGGGAAACACCCAAGAATAGTCTGCCAGTGAGCTTGCATGAGACCTCGAAACCATTCAATGCACAGAGTGGTCATGTTATGAAAGCTGAGCAGGAGAACACTGAGGACACCAGATAAAATATGGCTATGTTGGGAGTACAATATGATGTGGGTGAACACATGTCCACCAGATGCAATGGCGACACAATGTGGGGATTCCTGTACAAACATGGCCACAACATGAGCTCCACACAGCATCAGCTAGACTTCGAACCTGAATTCAATGTGGCTTCCATGTGGCCCACACGTCTCAGAAAATTGGTGGTGTAGAATAGATTTACGGAACAGAATATTTTATTTCACCCTGGTACAATTGGTACAAAGTTTTATTTCCTGGCATCAGTGGCTGTCTGAGCTTGATGCCCATAGATGCGGTGATAAGCCAACCTCACGACTGGGCGTGAATTTTTTCAATTTTGAACAACATGTAATAATGAGGTAGACACCATCCATCCTCGACAAACGTCACGTGTTATTTCCATATTCGGCTGAACAGGGAAAAGTAATTAATATCTCAGCATTGAGGAGGGTGGCAGCAAATCCCCTCAAGCACATCACGGAAATGCAGGTAAGGTACCTACACAAAAAACCCTGGGCCTCTTTGATCTTCCTTGGTAGATGAGTTACAGATTTCAGACACCATGTCGGCTGCCATCAACTGCTATCAACTTTTGATCTGTGCGCACACTGGAGACGAAATCTGTAACTCCTCCACTAAAATGCATTGGGTACGCCAAAGTTTTATTCTATTGATAAGGTAGGCGCCATTCGCATCCATCGAGTCACGTGCAGTCACAGCGTGACGCGTCTTCCTGCCCCTACTAGTCGGCGCCGTCGGGAGAAAAAATTAAGTCAGAACCGGAGAAATGATTGTTTTGAAGGAGGAAACAATGTCTCGGTCACAAAACTCCAATAATTGTTCCCAATAAAAAGTTTAAGACATGTTTTTTTAAAAGTGTCGCAAACGAGAATTCGACAACAGTGCAGTAGAATTGTTTTTTCGGTCCAAAATTTGGCGCGTCCCAAAAAGGAAGGTCCCACGGTCACATGACCGCGTCACCTTCCTTTTCGCCGCGTCGTTTCGCCTTGCCACCCGTATTCTTTCGCGCATTTACCCCCCAATCCGTGTCGTAGTCATGCCTAGGCTAAAAAAACAGGCTAGGACCAAGAATCTAGGTGGCCATGCCCAAAAGGTCGGTGTCGGGAGAATAAAAATGTCTGTCGGGGCTGCTCGAACTAACTCTTTACACAGAGAAAGGCTCCTGTACATGAAAGCGACAGTGACAGTACCCCGAAACGAATTCGTACCAGCTCTCCTGAGCCCGAGTCCTCTGAATCCTCAAATGAAGACATTCCTCAAGATCTGCTTGCGCTGAGTGGAAGTGCTTGGGTGGCCCGAGAAAATGGTGAAAACTCGGATATTGATGACGAAGAAGACGAAGACATCGAAATCCATGAAGAGGATGATATATCCCACCCTAAAGACAGCGCAGACCTGGTAAATTGGCTGAAACTTAGTGATGCGCACCTAGCGGCGTTGCACACAAGTACGGCTCCTGCGCGTCGCGGGCAATACCATAGTCGCAAAATTGGTCAGGATATGTCAGTTCGAAGAATGCAGCAGCTTCGAAAGGATGAAGCCGAGAGGAAGGAGCGGGAGAAGTGCGAGGATGCGCGACTTGGATTGAAGTCCAGGAATATTCATGACTTCTTTACCCGACCCCGGCCGTTTTCTCCCGAGCCTGAGCCCGCACCAGAGAGCTCTCCTGCGATGTCCCTCGACCCTTCCCTTCCTTCCGACCCAATTTGCGATCCAGAATTAAATTTTCCCGAGGAAGACATGGGCGGCGATGATTCAGTTGCCTTGGAACTTGACACGGACATTATCATGGCCGATACCGATGCGGCACCCGAACCCGGGAGTTCTTCACCTACCCATGGTGCTCCAGACGGTCGCAACGAGGTGCCTCCCACTCCAGACCCCGCCAAGCTTCTGGGGAGCATATCTCCTTCCGGCACCGCCTCCGATGCAGATGCTGTACCGACACCCGGTAGCTCTGTTTTACTGCGCCGGGCAACCGTCGAAGACGTTGATGATGAGGAAGATTATCTCTCGGTTGACCCGATGGAGCTCAGTCCAGAGGCAAGAGCGGAGGAAGGGCTAGATGAATTACCTTGGAATCCTGCCGAGGAAATCGGTCCTCGTCCTGCCGACACCTCCATACCAACTCCGCATCCACCCTCCCCATCTTCATCGTCATGTTTACCACCGGGTGCAGCTGCATACTACCCCGATGCACAGGGATTTACCATGCCGAATCGTCCTCAGCGCTGGAAACTGCCGAGTCAAGTGCCTTCGAACACATCCGTTGACACCGCCATTCAGAGTCTGCAAGATATTCTTCATCCTCGGCGGGCAAAAGGACGAGGCCATAAAAAAGCAGACCTTGATATTGTTACCACTGCTCGCCTGGAATGCATGGTACGGTTTCTGCGCTTGTACAAGGCCTCGGGATACTCGGGCTGGACGTTACATTCCGAGACTGTTGCGAC